GAGCGGGGAGCCCGATGCGGGGCTCGATCCCAGGACCCCGGGATCATGACCTGAGCCGAAGGCAGACGCTTAACGGCTGAGCCACCCAGGCGCCCCGATTATTCTGTTTCTTCAACTACTTAGACTTGTTAAAAATGAAGGCGACTTTAATTCTGAGGGGAAAAAAAGTCTAGAAAATTGACTAATGATGATTATGTGTACCTTACATGTAGCTCCCAGCAGAAAAGGCAGACTTGGGCATGTTCTAGTGAAACCCTAATAAGAAGTCTTACATAAGGGTATGGGGTTGCCATGGAAATCCTGGCTCCAGCTTCCTGTTCGGCAATAGGGCTCCCTGAGATCTTTTTGGAGGGAAGGCTCAGAGTGGAGTGAGCCTGGGAATCCTGTTCTAGTTTATGGATAGCATGGAATTGTGCCACTGGGTAAGGTCACCCTCTGCTCTAGGTTATAGAACATATCACCCAAAACATAGTGCTTTTAAACAACCACGTTTGTTTCATTCACAAACCTATAGGTGGAGTTCAGCGGGGACAGCTCCCCTCTGCGGGACTTGGCACCACCTGAGCCAGCTCAGAAGCTGGAATCACTGAAAACTCGTTCGCACTCATGTCTGCAGTTACTGCTGACTTTTGGCTGAGGTCTTAGCTGGGGCTGGAGGCCTCCGTGTGGCCTGGGCTTCGTACAGCGTGGCTCGGGGAGCGGCCGGTGAGAGCATCCAGAGAGACTGTGCACAGGCGGCAGCTATGTTGATTTTGATGACCTAGCCTTGAAAGTCACACAAAGTCACCTACTTCCATCATACTCTGTTTGTCAGTAGCGACTCAAGGAGGTTGTCCGTGTTCAAGGACAGGGCACATAGACACTCACCTCTCAATGGAGGAATGTCGGTCCCATTAGAGGGGCACAGGAAATGGGATATATGCGCATGGCTGACACTGGAAAGTCTAGTTGGTTCCATCCCCTATTAGGCTTAATTGTTAGGGGATTCTGAGGGATTCTAGATGAACCCAGAGCTTTTTCTCCTGTACTCATCTACATCTAATTTGTAAGTATTTTGAAATCTATCCACAGAAAGGTCTTAGGCCCTGTCTCATACATCTTCTGCCCTAGGGGAATTGGCCTCTTCTGGGAGTAGACCTTGTGATAGGTAAGAATCCTACAGAACTAAAATGAGTAGATCCTTTAAAGGTCAGCTGATTCAACCAGCCACTCCTTGTGATAATTTCCTCTCTAGCCCCCACCACTTTCAAGTGATTATCCAGCCTACACTGGACCACTTACAGTAGGAGACAAGGATGTTCAGAGTTATGACAGTTTTATGAGATCGGCAGGTACATTTTTAAAGTCTTAGGAGTGGCTGATAATCAGCAAAAGAGGTTCCCAGAACAAACCACCCAGGCTTCCATCCCCAGCCTGGGGTTCTGTCACCTGGCAGAATGCACTGGCTTTCTCTATGGTCTAGGCACTCTTGCTGCTGGTCTCCAGTGTAGACTCCTACCCTAATGGTGCCCCAAAATTCATCTGGGTGGATTTAAGAAGCAGATGTATGTGAGCCATAAACATCCCAGTGGGAAACAGGGTAGAGAGTAGAGGGAAAGTTTTGTACTGTTTGCCTCATTGGTAGAGGTTGTAATTTCCTCTAAGGTTACTTCACCAGGCCACCTCACATCGATGATGGAGTACTCACTGTCTTCTGGAATAGCCAATCTGTCTTTGGGTTGTTCTCATTAAAGAATGGTTTCGGGGCGCCTGGGTGGCTCAGTCGGTTAAGTGGCTGACTCTTGATTTCTACTCAGGTCATGATCTCAGGGTTGTGAGATCAAGCCTCACATCGGGCTCTGCGCTGGGTGTGGAACCTGCTTAAGATTCTCTCTCTCCCTCTGCCCCTACCTCCTGCTCTAAACAAAAGACAAAAAACATGGTTTTGTGATTTTGAGCTCAAATGTGTCTTCAGTTTTTACATATTGGTCATAGTTTGAGCTTTCGAAGCCATACAAAGTTCATTTTATGTCTCCTGTAATAACATTTCAATTCCATAAACCTCTCTCAGCGCACACTGAGTCTTTTCTCTAGAATAAACATCCCCTCTTCTCTTAGCCATTTTCTCAGGCCCTTAGTCTCAGCTGGCCCCAGTTTTTTAGAGCACTTTGGTGGTGTGAGGATTCTGGGCTAAGAATGAGTGCTTTTTTGCCTTCGAACACTGGGGCCACAGCCCGGGAATTGACTGGGACTGGGCAGAGGGTGCTGTCGCTGGTGTAAGCCTTCGAGGCACCTGGGTACCTTCTGGAAAACCCACAAAACCAATGCACACGTGTCCTTCTTTGTATCACTCGACCTCAGATTTTTTTTTTTTTAAGATTTTATTTATTTATTTGACAGAGAGAGACACAGCGAGAGAGGGAACACAAGCAGGGGGAGTGGGAGAGGGAGAAG